ACCAGTCGGAGCGTCTTCCCCCTACTGGTCAGTGCACATCATAGCGACTGGCCAACCGGTCGACTGTCTGGCCCCTGGTGGTCAGTGTATGTCATAGCGAGCGGTTGAGCAGCCTTCACATATCATTAGCATATTACACTTTGATTGGTTGAACAGACAACCAGACAACCGGACACTTAGCATATTAGGTTTTTATTATATAGGAATACGAATAGCATTATAAAAGTAAAAACTATATGATCCTCACATGCTTTTACAATTGGAAAGACAGAACAATAAATACACAAATGTCATTTGTACATTATCAAAGCTAAAAGAGAGAAGACATAAAAGAAATAGACCACTAGTTTAAGAAATACACAAGTTGAGAATGAGACCTAAGTGGTGGATAACGTTCATCAGGGGGCCTTCTTGCAATTAAAGACTTCTAAAGCAATAGTACATTTCATACCAAGAAGGATAAATGAGAACATGACCTCTTGGTGACTATCCTTCAAGGCAGAAGCAAGCAAGCAAACCCTAAAGCAAGTCATTCTTTGAATTTTTACTTTTGGTTAGAGATGACAGATGTTCCAAAACTACAAGATCTCAGCCTGAATATTGAGTTCCTATAATCTTGTTCACTCCATAAATATTATATAAAACATTACCTTTTTACATATTTTCATATTTCATTTCCCTAAATCATTCCTATTTGAACAATAATGAAAAGAACATCTGCAGAAAGTTATGTCACAGGGCAATGGATTCACACAACTCACCTGCACACCTACAGTTTTAATTGGCAGCAGAAAGGCATTCAGTGAATGCAGACTTGTAATTTGCATCAGTTTCTCCTGGTCCTCTTCTGTTGTGCAGGCTTTGACTCTTTGTAATAGCGTATGCGGCTGGAAAAAAAACACACACAGATATTTCTTAAGGTTTCAAGAAATAAGGTACTCTTTTGGGATCTATTACTATCTTAGATATCTACATTTACTGCTTTATAGCAATAGATCCTATTGGGCATCTCTCTTTGACTTGTGTGTACTATGCAGTATAAATCCTAACCCTGTTTTTATTCTTTTAGAGTTCCCCTTAAATGTTATCATGCATATTTAACAAGAGAATCTCTCTAACCACTTGGCAAACAATGCAAGCATATTTAATTGCTTTAACTCCAATCAATCCCCTTGTGGGTTTACATGTTATTTTAACTACATATTATTGTAATATTTTAAAAATAAACACCAATAATTATAGATCATTACTTTTATTATATATTCCATGTTTGCTTGAATGTTACCATTTTCTTTACCATTTTTTTTGTTTACCATTTTCCATTTTCTTTTGTTTACCATTTTTTTCTTGCATATCAGACCTTTCTTCTGAGATCCTTTTGCTTCTCCTAAAGTCAGCCCTTTAAAACAGTGGTTCTCAAAAAATAAAATAACAGTGGTTCTCAAGCCTCACTGTACACTCAAATTACTTGGTATAATCAGGTTCTATCTTGGATTAAATAAGAAATTCAAGGAAGAAGGGGTCCAAGCATAGTATACTTCAAAAGCTCCCCCAACCCTGGCCAGTGTGGCTCAGTTGATTAAGTGTTGTTCCATGCAACAAAAGGTCAATAGGATTTGATTCCAGGTCAAGGCACATTCCCAGGTTTCCAGCTGGATCCCCAGTAGGGGGGCATGTAGCAGGAGGCAGCCAGTCCATATTTCTCTCTAAAATTAATAAAAACATACTTAAGCCGAAACCGGTTTGGCTCAGTGGATAGAGCGTCGGCCTGCGGACTGAGGGGTCCCAGGTTCGGTTCCGGTCAAGGGCATGTACCTGGGTTGCAGGCACATCCCCAGTGGGAGATGTGCAGGAGGCAGCTGGTCGATGTTTCTCTCTCATCGATGTTTCTAACTCTCTATCTCTCTCCCTTCCTCTCTGTAAAAAATCAATAAAATATATTTTAAAAAAAAAAACATACTTAAAAAAAAAAAGCCGCCCCAGATGATTCTAATACACAGCCAAGGGGTATGTATACTGCACTGTTGGTAGTAAACTGTGTTTATCTGAAAATGTCTCTATTTTGCCCTACTTTTAGCAGACAGTGTATCTGTTCACTATTGTTCACCATTATTTTCTCTTGGAACTTTGAAGTCTTCTTGCTTTTACTACTGCTTTCTGTATACTAGTCTTTCCTTTGTAGAGTAAAACAACCTTTCCTCTGCAGCTGCTTTGTCTTTGGCAGAATGCAGTTTTGCTAGGTATGCCAACTCGGTATCAAATTCTTTTCATTTATTCCGATAGCAATGTGTTACGTTCTCCTGAATCTGATGCATGGTTTCAAATAGTTTCAACCAGTGTGGAGAAATTCAAATACTTTTGTCTATTACCTCCTTCTGAAAATATGGTAAAGATGACCTTTTCATTCTATCTTAACTTCTATCCTTCTGGATAATTTCTTAACATCTTTCTAAAGCTGTTTAATTTCAGCTATTATTTTCTAAAATTTAATTTTTTAAAAACTGCCCAGTCATTTTTATACTCTTATCATATACCTTATTCCTATTATCTACTGGTTCCTTAATTTTATGTCCTTTATATTATTTCTCTGCTAATCCCAGTATTTGAAGCGTTTGAGGGTTTTCTGCTAGTTTCTACTAACTCGCATTCATGGAGCCCTTTTTCTATAAATATTTTGTAATTTTTTTTTATTGTAAGCTCGTATTTGCTAGAACTGTATCTATGAGAATTCTTTGAGGCCTGCTTGAAGATATTCCAAAGAGTAAATTAATTTACATTGCTTCTTGCCTGACACCTGGAAGCACTACCAACCAAGGTCCACTTTAAATAAGAATTGACTTCTCAGCTTGCAGGTTTTCAGACAACACAGGTTATGAATTTATGCACCAAAACTACAGATGGACTGGAAGACTTATCCATTCATCCTCAATCTGGACCTGAAATAATCCCCCTTGTTTTCTTTTAACAGATATAGAGTATTTTAAAACACCTTTTCAGAAAATAAACAAATGGAACTACATCAAAATAAAAAGCTTCTGCACAGCAAAAGAAACCAACGAAACAACAAGAAAGCCCACTGCATGGGAGAACGTATTTGCCAATGTTATCTCCAATAAGGATTTAATCTCCAACATTTACAGGGAACTCATACAACTTAACAAAAGGAAGATAAACAATCCAATCAAAAAAATGGGCAAAGGACCTAAATAGTACTTTTTGGAAGAGGACATATGGAAGGTCAAAAGACACATGAAAATATGCTCAAAGTCACTAATCATCCAAGAGATGCAAAAATCAAAACAACAATGAGGTACCATCTCACACCTGTCAGAATGGCTATTATCAACAAATCAACAAACGACAAGTGCTGGAGAGGATGCGGAGAAAAAGGAACCCTCATGCACTGCTGGTGGGAATGCAGACTGGTGCAGCCACTGTGGAGAACAGTGGAGTTTCCTCAAAAAGTTAAAAATGGAACTCCTATTCAACCCAGTGATCCCACTTCTAGGAATATATCCCAAGAAACTAGAAACACCAATTAGAAAGGATATATGCACCCCTATGTTCATAGCAGCACAATTTATAATAGCTAAGATTTGGAAACAACCTAAGTGCCCATCAGCAGATGAGTGGATGAAAAAACTGTGGTACATCTACACAATGGAATACTATGCTGCTATAAAATGGAAGGAACTCCTACCATTGCAACAGCATGGATGGACCTGAAGTGCATTATGCTAAGTGAAATAAGCCAGTCGGAGAAAGATAAATATCACATGATCTCACTCATTTATGGAATATAATGAACAACATAAACTGAACAAAAATAGATCCAGAAACAAAGAAATACCGAACAGACCATCAAACCTCAGAGGGAAGAGATCAACCAAAGGACTTGTATGCATGCATATTAGCATAACCAATGGACATGAACCCTGGGGCGGTGGGGGCTTGTCCTTGGGGGTGGGAGTGGCCAGGGAGGGGTGGATGGGGGAAAAAGGAGACATCTATCTATATAAAACCCTAATATGCAAACAGACCAAACGGGGGAACAATCGGTTGCTATGACACTCACTGACCACCAGGGGGCAGACACTCAACACAGGAGCTGCCCCTGGTGGTCAATGCGCCCCACAGGAGAGCGCCGCTCAGCCAGAAGCCGGGCTCATTGCTGGCGAGTGCAGCAGTGGTGACGGGAGCCTCTCCTGCTTCCTCGGCAGTCAGACATCCCCTGAGGGCTCCCGGACTATGAGAGGGCACAGGCCGGGCTGAGGGACCCCCCCTTCCCTCTGCCAAGTGCAAGATTTTCATGCACCGGGCCTCTAGTAATATACTAGTATAAATCCAACATAATTACCTTTTTAACACTTGCAGAGAAATCAGCTACTATTTTCAAAATGTTGTTGGTTTCAGGAAAGTCCTTACAAATGTAAGGTTCTTCAGCACATATTACTCTAATTGCCAGACCAGGACCTAAAGTGAAGAGTAATAATTTAAAAATTATTTTGAAATTTTAATATAAAAATGTCACTACTCCCAAAATATAAAACCCTTCCAAAAATTAATATCCATTTGCTGTGCCACTTCAAGGATTTTTTTTCCAGTTTTACTGACTGGAAAATTTATTATTTTTTATATAGTTGATATATCACCATTGCAAATAGTTTCTATTGTGAGGATCAAATAAGACAGTATTTGTAAAATATGCAGCAAAATGCCTAGCACATACCAGCACTCAAGAAATGTGAACTGGGATAAATGTAGCGCCGCGGCGCGGGCCGGCAGCTCTCCGAGGGGCCGGAGCGCAGCGGAGCCATGCAGTACCCGCACCCGGCCGGGCCGGCCCGCCGCAGGCCCCGGGGGGGGTGCCGCTTTTACGTCCCCACGGCGCGTTGGTTGCAGCCGGGGGAAATCCCACGCTTTTTTAAAATTGGGGGAACCCCCGGGGGCCGGGGGGCCCGGCGGGGGCAACCCCTAACCATAAGGTTACCGTTCCCCAAATGCCGTCCCCCAACTCCTCCTTCACCAGCCTCGTGTCCTCCTACCGCACCCCGGTGTACGAGCCCAGGTGTACGAGCCCACCCCGCCTTCTCGCACCACTTCGCGGCGCGCTGGCCGCCGCGTACGGACCCGGCGGTTTCAAGGGCCCTCTGTACCCCTTTCCGCAGACGGTGAACGACTACACACACGCCCTGCTCCGCCACGACCCCCTGGGCAAACCTCTGCTCTGGAGCCCTTTCTTGCAGAGGCCTCTGCATAAAAGGAAAGGCGGCCAGGTGAGGTTCTCCAACGACCAGACTATCGAGCTGGAGAAGAAGTTTGAGACCCAGAAATACCTCTCCCCGCCTGAGAGGAAGCGTCTGGCCAAAATGTTGCAGCTTAGCGAGAGACAGGTCAAAACCTGGTTTCAGAATCGACGCGCTAAATGGCGAAGACTAAAGCAGGAGAACCCTCAAAGCAATAAAAAAGAGGAACTGGAAAGTTTGGACTATCCCTGCAATCAGAGGCAAGACTTGCCCAGTGAACAGAATAAAGGTGCTTTGGATAGCTCTCAATGTTCGCCTTCCCCTGCCTCCCAAGAAGACCTTGAGTCAGAGATTTCAGAGGATTCTGATCAGGAAGTGGGCATTGAGGGCGATAAAGGCTATTTTAATGCTGGATGATGATCACTGACATCGGCACATTCAGAAAACTGGACTTGGGAATAATATTTGCAACAGGAAATCTCTATAGACAACTGGAAAACTATATGGGAAAGGAAGTTAGTTTGCTGGTATTCTGGAAACCGAAAATATTTGGTACACTGGCTAAATAACAAACTCACATTGAAACCTTAATTTTGACTTAAGAAACAGTTTATATATTGATTTTAGGTTGTACGATAAGGGGACTTTTCACTGGTTCAATTTACCCCCTTTTAAAAAAGTAATTTCTTTTCCTATTTATAAAAGGCAATTTTGAACATTTTGGTTGAATTTTTAAGTTATAACTTTAAAGATTTTAATGGGATCTTTTTGAATAACTTTTCTATAATCTGTATCTCATCCCACTGAATGGAAAACCAAAGGGTACCCCAAACTCAGAGGTATGCCTTGGAAAGGGGGCCCGCATTTCGGGCAGCCTTGGAATATTTTAAAAGGAAACATTCTTTACTTTTATATTACATTCTTACACTGCTGCTTAAATCCGAAAGCAGCTCAGAGCTCATCTCCGGGATGTGCCTGCCTTTTGTTAGAGAGAGATAGTTGATAATCTTTTTTTTTTTTTTTAAATATATTTTATTGACTTTTTACAGAGAGGAAGGGAGAGGGATAGAGAGTTAGAAACATTGATGAGAGAGAAACATCAATCAGCTGCCTCCTGCACACTCCCCACTGGGGATGTGCCCGCAACCAAGGTACAGGCCCTTGACCGGAATCGAACCCGGGACCCTTCAGTCCGCAGGCCGACGCTCTATCCACTGAGCCAAACCGGCCAGGGCGATAGTTGATAATCTTAAATGCTTGTTTTGCACTATCACTTAGTACCTGTTTGACTAAGGTGTTAAGGATAGGACTGTCCAATTCAGGCAGAAAAACTGACTCATTGGTGACTGAAATTAAGCACAGGAACTAGAAATAGCAGGTTAATTAAGTGTAAGTAGATTGTAGATAATTGTGTTTTACATCAACCAGTGTTTATAATGTGTATATGTATATATATAATTGTTCACTGTAAAAAACATGGCCAAAATATTTGTGTGTGTGTGTTTTTTAATGAGTAACCTGCCTATAAAATAAATCTGTCGGTGAGAAAGGAAAAAAAAAAAGAAATGTGAACTATTACTTTTTTTAAATTTCATTAAACCATTTATTCAACTTATCACCAAATACTGAGAGCTAGAAACTGAAGTACAAATCTAGCCCAAATTCAAGAACTCATTTAAAAAGATTCTCAATCCCAACTTTAAACAAATATCACCTCTGTTTTTCTATATGACAAAATAACTATTTCATCTATTTTTTATTTGCTCATAAATTAGTTACATATGGCCTGTGCAAAGAAGTGGTTCAGCCATTCAGATAAATGAGCCATGGCAAAAGGATTTCAGAGAACGAAGTTTTAACCCTGTCTTCCATCATGGTATCATAGAAAGAATATACAAAATCCCAGCTCTGACACCGATAATTGTGTGGCAATGTTATTAAAATACTTCGATGCCTTGGTTTTCTCATCTGATGGCAAAATGATATGTCATCATACAATTTTGGTATGGTATATTTAAATATAAATACAATGGAACATAACTACTTAATAAAATGAAGTATGTACACTAGACACTAAAAAAATGTTTATTCCCTACACACCCTTTTCTTTCTCTCAAGTTACATTTTCCTTGTGATAACAAATTCTTTCAAAATTGTCTGAATTGATTTTTCTTCAACAGGAAGGTCTAAGAACAAATCAAACAATTCAATTTTAATTTTACCTGGAAATGGATGCCTGGAAACTAACTCTTCTGGAAGTCCGAGTTCTCTGCCTAAAACTCTCACTTCATCTTTATGAAAATCTTTCAGAGGTTCTATTACTTTTCCCTATATAAGGGGGAAAAAACAATTAGTACAAATTAGTAACCAAAATCACATGGAAACAAAGGGTAATAAATTATTGGCTTTCCCTATTGTCTTTTACCTCAGATTTAAAAATCAGTTTTTAAAACTTCGTTTCCTCCTGTATGCTTATAGGCATTAGATAAACATTTCAGTGATCTTATTTCTCTTTGAAACACATTTTAAATATAAACCTTTTAAATATAAATAAATCAAAGCAAACCTTCCCTTATCTCTGATATAGTTTTTGTTAGAATACAAGGCAAATTAAATATATACTAGTGTTTCAAAATAAAACTCTCCAAATGATGCCATCAAGAAAGTGAAAAGACAACACAGAAGACAAATCATGTATCTTACAAAAGACTTGTAACTAGAATATATAAAGAACACTTACAATTCAATGAAAAGATAAACAAACCAATTTAAAAAGGGGTAAAATATCTGAATTGATATTTCTCCAAAGAAAATATACAAATAGCCAATAAGCACACGAAAAGGTATTTAGCATCATTAGCTATTAGGGAAATACAAAACAAAACTATAATGCGTTACCACTACACACTAAGATGCACAAAATAAAGAGACATAATTCACAGCCTTATGATAGCTACTATCAAAACAACAGAAAATAACAAGTGTTGGCAAGGTGTAGAGAAATTAGAACTCTTGGCATTGTTAATGGGAATGTAAGATGGTGTAACCACTATGAAAACACGAAGGAAACCTCAAAATATTAAAAATAGAACTACATGATCTTGCCCAGACAGAGTGGCTCGGTTGGTTGACCAATGTCCCATGCACCAAGAGTTCACCAGTTTGATTCCCAGTCAGGGCACATGCCTAGGTTGCAAGCTCGATCCCCACTTGGGAGCATGCAGGAGAGCAGCCGATCAATGTTTCTCTCTCTCTCTCTCTCTCTCTCTCTCTCTCTCTCTCTCTCTCCCCCCCCCCTCCCTCCCTCCCTCTTTTTTTTTCCAAAAAATATTAATGAAACATTTAAAAAAAAAATTACATGATCTAGCAATTCCACTTCTTAGTATATATCCAAAAGAATTGAAAGCAGGGTCTATAAGAGATATGTGCAAACCCAGATTCATAGTATAATTTACAATAGCCAAAAGTGGAAGTAACCAAAATGTCCACTGACAGATCAATGGATAAACAAAATGTAAATATAAAATGTGAATATTATTCAGCCTTAAAAAGGACATCTTAACATGGATTAACCTTGAGGACCTACGGTAAGTGAAATAAGCTAGTCACAAAATGATTTTACTTATATAAGCTATCTGAAGTAGTGAAATTCACTGAAACAAAGTAGAATGGTGGTTATCAGGGGTTAGGGCAGTGATGGCGAGCCTATGACATGCGTGTCAGAGGTGACACTCGAACTCATTTTTTTGGTTGATTTTTCTTTGTTAAATGGCATTTAAATATATAAAATAAATATCAAAAATATAAATCTTTTTTATACTATAGTTGCAAATATCAAAAAATGTCTATATGTGACACGGCACCAGAGTTAAGTTAGGGTTTTTCAAAATGCTGACACACCGAGCTCAAAAGGTTCGCCATCACTGGGTTAGGGAGAAGGAGAAAACAGCAGCTGTTGTTCAATAGGTATAGAGCATTTCAGTTTTGCAACATGGAAAATTATAGAAATCTGTTTCACAACAATGCAAATACACCTAACACTACCGAACTGTACACTTAAAAATGGTTAAGGGGGGAGGAAAGAGGCTTTATGGGAAAGTTTGCGTAAGTTTTTACCTACCTCTTCTCTCAACTTTCTGATAAGCTCTGTGTCATTGTGATGGGTCTTGATGAGTTCAGCTTTGCCACTTGCAACAAGGGATGCACTTTCAATTAGATCAGGCCGTAAAGTACCTTGGGCAAGGAAAACCTCCTCAGGTTTCAGGTTCATTTCTCCAATTACTTCATTGGCAATCTATAACCAACAGGAGTAAAAGAGCCTTTTAAAGGATGACTCTTTTAAAAAGACAGCAAAATTTTATACTTTCAGCTAAATTTCTCAAAGTCCTTGGGCAATACTGACAGGATGAAATCTACCAACTCCTAAAATAAACTCCTTTAACAACATATGTTCTTTAAAGAACCTGCTTTAACATGATTCAAAAAGGTATGCAAACATTCCCCCTATTCAAAAGCTAAAAACCAGTCACTGAAATACTGAAAGTCTAATATCAATTGAAAATACCTATTCTTAAAATAGTTAAATCAAATCAATAGCAAAACATAAGTATACATGTTTTTAAAATATAAAACAATTTATACTATTGGTCTATATAGTAGTAATATACAGTAAAATTCTTATCCAAAAATAAAATAAAAATTAGCAAATTTGGTTATTTGATATAATGGCAAGAAAAAACAAATACTAAAATTCACCTTGAAAACACTACACATTGAGGATATTAAAAAGGTACCTTAACAAAAGTATCCCCAATGATTTTTCTTTTCTCCTCAGGACTTGTTGTCATATTTAACGTTTTGCTGATTCTTTTTCGTGGAGTTCTATCTTCATCTGATATTGGTAGAGTTGTTGTTCCATTGTAGAAAGAATGAGCAGCATTTATCACTGGGTGAGGGAGCAGAAACATGTTTTAATCTTTTTTAAAAAGATTTTTAAATATCATACTAACAAATCAAACTACAGAAATAAAAGCAAAATGGGTCCTTTTATCTCCCATTAATTTGCCTACATATTCCAGAACAATCAATAAACCATGATTAATAGAGTCTAGACCAGCCGTGGGCAAACTACGGCCCGCGGGCCGGATCCGGCCCGTTTGAAATGAATAAAACTTTTTTTTTTTTTTTAAAAAAAAGACCGTACCCTTTTATGTAATGATGTTTACTTTGAATTTATATTAGTTCACACAAACACTCCATCCATGCTTTTGTTCCTGCCCTCCGGTCCAGTTTAAGAACCCACTGTGGCCCTCGAGTCAAAAAGTTTGCCCACCCCTGGTCTAGACAGATGCACTCATTAATTTTGTTTTGTGAACCCCGTGACATTTAATGATCTAGGCCAGTGGTCAGCAAACTGCGGCTCAGCAAACCGGGGCTCTCGAGCCACATGCGGCTCTTTGGCCCCTTGAGTGTGGCCCTTCCACAAAATACCGACTTCTGCGCATGGGCCACGAAGTTTCAATCGCACTGTACGTGCGCGTCCGCACGTGGCATTTTGTGGAAGAGCCATATTCAAGGGGTCAAAAAGCCGCATGTGGCTCACGAGCCACAGTTTGCCGACCACGGATCTATGCTCATGATAGCATAAATTATGCTGGTTGTTTTTCCCCTACTCAGTGCGCCACCAGAACAACAGGCAAAAGTAACAGCAGAAAATCATGGCTCCAAGGAAATTAAAAGCAATGGTTCATGTACAGTGATCTTAAGTTCTCAGAACTACATAGACTAGTCTCTTGAAAAACTGATGTTTATGAACATACGTTTAGTGATCCTTGACTGTCCACTTATATTTAAGAACAAGGTATTTAAAAACTGACTAAGATCTCTATCTATATATATAAAAGCCTAAGCGACCAAATGACTGGTCAACCCGTCGCTCTGACGCGCACTAACCACCAGTGGGCAGACGCTCAACGCAGGAGCTGACCCCTGGTGGTCAC